TTTTTTTCTCCAGCTCCAGGGCTTCCTTCCTCTGAGGAGAAGGTTAATTTCATTTCTTTCTTTTTTTTTTAGAACGCCGTCTCCTCCATTTCGAGAGGCGGCTGCGTGCCCTAGCGGTTAGCAAAGCCTCCGTCTCCCGCGTGTGCGTCGTATTTTTCTCCCCAGGATTCGCTGCTTTTGGTGACTCGCTCATGGGTGGGGGGGCAGTCTAAAGAGTTTGGCTTGAAGGAGACACATCAGTGTTTGTCCTTCAAGGGAAACGTGGAAACCCATCAGCCCAGTGCTGTGAGCCACAAAGGAGAGGCACATTAAATAAATGTTAAGAGATGATTGCAACCGGGATAGAAAGCACAGTGGCCAAATGTCAGCGTGTTGATATATATAAGCTTTGGCGGCAGTGACCTTCAGGTTCCCGGAGATGGTCCTCGGCTCATCTTAGAGGAGGGAGATTGTATCAGCAGAGGAGGGGCAGCTAAGCATTGAACGCAGAACAATGGGTTGGAAGGGGCCTTGGAGGTCATCCGGTCGAGCCCCTTGCTCCAGCAGGAGACCCTATACTGTCTCAAAACAGCTGCTGTCCAATTTCTTTTTAAAAACCTCTAGTGATGGAGCACTCAGGACTTCTGGAGACAAGCCGTTTCACTGATTTAAAAGAATTAGAGGATAATATTTGGAAGGGACCTTGGAGGTCTTCTAGTCCAACCCCCTAATATATATATAGATATATAGTCTCCAGCCCCCTCATCTTCTTTGTTGCTCTTCTCTGCACTCTTTCTAGAGTCTCTTTCTTACATCATGGCGACCAAAACTGGATGCAGTATTATTCCAAATGTGGCCTTACCAAGGCATTATATAAAGTGCTATTAACTCTTCACGTGATCTTGATTCTATCCCTCTGTTGATGCAGCCTAGAACTGTGTTGGCTTTTTGGGCAGCTGTAGCACACATCTGGCTCATATTTTAAATGGCTGTCCACTAGGACTCCAAGATCCCTCTAACAGTTACCGGCATTAAGCCAGGTTTCACCTGTGCTATACCTGCGCATTCTTCACCGACGAAGCTTTTGGGGATGAGAAGCTAAAGGTTTTCAAAGAAAAAAAGTCCAGTTGCCGTTTGAAAAAAGCACTTTTGAGCTAAGCCCCAAGTGCATAATTTAAGCTTCCAGCCTCAAGAAACTTTGGGGCGTAGTTCGCACAGTCCTCCCAAACTTCCTGTTTAATGAGACAGAAGGAGAGAATTAATTACATATCAGTCTGGGGAGAAATCTCACTGACTATAATTAAGTTGGAAGCACAGGAAATATAAATGAAAGGCACTGCCTTCTTTAAAGCAAACCTCCGTTCTGGAAACAGTGCATCGTTTTCTTGGCAATTACAGGTACTCCTGTTGCTAAATGAAGCAGACATTAAGTGAGGCGTGTCTGTTTTTAACAATCTTTTTTTTAAACTGGGGTCATTAAGCGAATCACCAGTGTTGCTAAGTGAACCCAGTGGACATTAAGCAAATCCTGTTGTTCCCCGGACTGCTTATTGGAAGCGGGTTGGGAAAATCACAGGTGATGATCAGGTGATCCTGGGACATTGCAACCATTATAAATATGTGCTGGTTGCCAAGTTAGTTTTTTTAAACACTGTCCTAACTGCCTTCCATCTCATTAAGAATTGGATGCAACTTCGCTTTTATTTTGGAAAGCATGCAGAGAAGAGCAACTAGGATGATGAGGGGACTTGGAGGCTAAAACATACGATGAACGGTTGCAGGAACTGGGCCTGGCTAGTCTAGGGAAGAGAAGGACCAGGGGAGACATGATAGCGGTCTTCCAATATCTGAGGGGCTGCCATAGAGAGGAGGAGGGGGTCAAGCTATTTTCCAAGACATCTGAAGGTCAGACAAGGAATAATGGACGGAAACTGAACAAAGAGAGATTCAACTTGGAAACAAGGAGACAGTGGGGACAATCAACCCATGGAACAGAAGTTGCCTCCAGAAGTTGTGGGAGCTTCATCACTGGAAGCTTTCAAGAAGAGACTGGACTGCCATCTGTCAGGAATGGTGTAGGCAGGGCCTCCTGCTTGGGCAGGGGGTTGGACTAGATGACCTAGAAGTGCCCTTCCAACTATGTTATTCTGTTATTCTAATCTTGGGGTCTTCAAACTTGACAGCTTTAAGACTTGCGGACTTCAACTCCCAGAATTCCTCCTCCAGTCAT